TTAAAAAAAACAAAAACAAAAACAAACAACAAAACAATGTTTAAAAAACGTCTAAGCCTTGCTGAAAGTTGGACCTATAGGCTAAGTAAAGTACATTTAAATCTATCTTATATTATACCGCTGAAGTGTGGTCCCTTCTAAGTAGAGTAAGAGCCCTTTCCTTTCACAGGGATCTCGCTGTGGCGTCCATTATTATCCGCACTGTAATTTGTAATACGAAGTATTGTGTAGCCCATTCCCATTCACACGAGCGTCTGTGGCTGGGAGTGGCGGGTTCCCGCCACAGAGTGGCGCCACTGAGTCGCTCGTAGCCATTCATACGGGCCACTCGGTGGCGCGTTTTTCATTCGTCAGTGCTGAGTGCACGCACTTGGAGCTTGTGTGTGGTTTTTCAACAACGTTGCAACATGACATCGTTTGATACAGACCGTTTTATCATAGAAATCCAGCGACGACCCGCTCTGTGGGATAGCAGATGTGCTGATTACGGCAGTCGAATGATAAAAGCAAAGGCATGGGCTGACATTTGTGAAAATTTCTTTGACAACTTCCAAGAAATGGATTCAGGAAACAAATATAAAGCAGGTAGAAATTTGATTCAATTTGAATAGCATCTCTCTCTTCTTTTTCTTCTTTTCGCTCTATCTCTTCCTATCTCCCTCTCTCTCCCACACACACGCGTCACACACACACACACACACACACACACACACACACACACACACACACTCACGTACTACGTTAATTTTTTATTCTACATGTATTACTCTACATGTATTATAAGAGAAAGCGATGTAATTCTTTTCTAGTAGATTCAGTACTGTTTTCGCTTCTTATACTTTTCAGCTGTTGAACTGCAGAGGAAATGGAAGAGTTTAAGAAATTCCTTCAGGAGGGAGCTGGCAATATCCAAAAAACTGAAGTCTGGCTCTGCAGCAGACACCGGCAGAAAAGAATACATGTACTTCCAGAAGCTTTCTTTCTTGCTGCCCATTTGTCACGACACCAAGTCACAAACTGAGGGCGCTTCCGATTCCGACTGTTGTGCACAACAGGACAGTAACCCAGAGATTGCTGCGGGTCCTTCTCGTCCTGTTCACCAAACTAGGAAGAGGAAATCAACAAGTTCTTCAAGTTCATCAAGTGAGGACCTTCTTTTACAGACTCTCGCCAAAAATATTGAGAGGAAAATAAAGGGGCCTGAGGATGCTGACAGACATTTCTTACTTAGTCTTCTACCTCACTTCAAAAGTATCTCAGACAATATGAAGTTGGAGCTTCAAGGAGAATTTTTAGCTGTGCTGAGTAAGTACAGACAGCGGACTGTATCAGCCAGACAGCAATTTTCGCCTACACCAACTGAAGTCTCTGACCCCAGCTCAGCTCCATAATTTCTGCAATCCATTTCTTTCCCATACATGTACATCTACAACACAAGGCTGGTAGTGCCAAATCTAGTCTGACCAACTGTCCAACAGATACCAACTGAGCTTCGTTCAGTTGACACAATTTCAGCTTCCCAAGCCACCCCCCCCCCCCCCGGGGTGGTGCTACTGACTGAATGTCTTTAAAGGCTATTCCCAAAGGGGGGACATTAACCATGTTCTTATGCACAGTAGAATTGTAATTGTAAATGGGCCAATTCATCAATGACATGCTCATAACTCTGTGCCTGAACTGCAACAGGGAACTGCTGCTTTTTCTTTCCTAATCCTTACTATCGTCATTTCCCTCTACTTCTTTTGTATTGTCACACTCTTGTGACCCGATATTTCCGGAGTGCCTTGATAGCCGAAGCAGACTTTGTGCTGTTGAAGTTAGAGAGGTGAGCAGAGTAAGTCTGATTCCCTGTATGAACGTCTCTGTTGACATCCACCCCTTGGCGCTCATATATGATCGCGCCGTAAAACCTCTACTAATACTAAAACAACTGCCAACCGTTGACACGTTATTGGATTCATCCAGCATGATCATCTTCCTTCAGCGTCTTAGCAGGAGACCAAGCAGGGAACATTTCCCCTCCGAGTCCATCATGGTCGAACTGAACAGCGGTCTGTGGCGCCCCTGTCTGGCTGTTAGTGTTACACGCTACTTACACGCGCTGCTCAGTGGCGCCAACCAGCCACACAGTAGCGCCAGATTGTAAAACTCTCTTGTGTAGCGCCACAGCGTGGTCCGTGTGAAAGCGGCCTAACTTGCCGTAGATCTTGCACTTCAGTAGTGTTCTATTCTTTTATAATACATGTAGGCTACTTTATTTACGAGCTTTGAAGGATGGCCCAGGACCCCAGGACAGAGAGCTTGTACTTGTATGCGGCTTACACTGTGCCAGGGGCGAATGGCAAAAAATTTGGTGATGATAATTTGTCTCCTTGTCAAAGGGACACAACTGTGCAATCATTATTTTTTTCTTTGTCCAAGTCGAGTTATTGCGTTCAGACAACGTACCGATACTGTACTGTTAGTACACTTTAAACATTTTTATTTATGTTCTCACAGTTCTGTATTATAACAGCATAGTCTGGGATTAATATAGAAAGAATGCAACATTTCAACATCTACATTCCCTTCCTACCGGTACTTCGATGAATTTATACATTATAATAACTTGCACTAGAAAAATTAATTCCATCTTTTTGGACAATAACATCCCCCTTATTTATTCCCTCAAGATAAAAATATCAGTCAGAGGTGAAAGGCCTAGGCTTCTGATCTGTAACAAAGAAAGATACAGAAGGCCATTCTTACCATCATCTATTAAACTTCTTACCATTTCAATCATCAGCCTATTTGTGAGTGTAAACATGCTATTGTATTATTGTGGTTATGTGCTCAGATGTGTGTGGAAGAGAGGATATGTGAGGGAAGAGTGTCTGTGTACATGGGTGTGCACATGTGTGTGTGTGCACATGGTGAAACTCCAATCCAATGTGCCAGGACCTGGACAACAAAGATGTATCTTATCTTACCTAGCCACTGTCTGTCAACAGCTCAAATTGTAAATGAGTCTGTCCCTAGACTGAGCATTTGTCACTTCATCATCAAATATGACATCAAAATGAAAATGAAATTGATACCAGCATTGAATTTAGCTTTTTACTATAGACCTCTAGATAAAAAAATAATAAAATGTTCAACTGTCCATCTTTTACTGAAAATGAGATCAGAGTTGAAACACATTTCTTTTTAATTTTTCAGCCACAAACCATGTGATGCATGTGCCCAAGGTAACACAAAAAGGTGAATCATTACCCCTTCTTGTGACACTAATGTTACAGTTACAGTCTAGGATGTTCCTCATAGCAAACTCATATATAAGAAAGTGGAGATCTTTTCACATTATGTACTAATTTCATGATCATGTATGTGTTTTAAATTCAAACAATATAAATGGTATAAGACAACAATTTTGGACTTGAAAATCGTTTCAATATAATATGCATATCCAATAATATATAATACATTGTTAACCCTATCCGTACGTCTTGTTTTACTATTCTATCCATACAACGTGGGGAACTCTGTGCCACCTTTTTCCAAAGAGGAAATTTACTATCATAGCAGTCTGTCAAAATGAATTTTTGAGAACTGAAATTTTCAAAGAGATCATCTTTGCACTAGAAGTATTCTAAAATGTGAAGAATACAACCCTGGGGGTACAAAATGACCCCAGGGAGTACGGATAGGGTTAAGGTATGTGTATGCTAGACTATTTTTACATGACCTTTAACTATGAGTAATCAGTTTAACCCTTTGAGCCCTTGCCACCGGTACATCAGTGGCACGTGAAACTGCCTGTATGACTAGCGACCGGTACATCAGTGGTGAACGAGACTTTATCTCCAACCCGGCCAGCCTTGGACAAAATTAAATGGAAAACAGTGTTTACTACATAGAGGATGTTATTGATTATTTTGAAAATCTTTCTGATCTTTCCTGAATTAGAAGCTGGTGATGACGAAGACTACTCCAAGTGGGATTTATATATATATAAGGATGTTAGTAATATGTTGCTCAGAAGCTCAGGCAGAGGGGCACGGTAGTCTCAGGGGGTCAGGGCTCAAAGTAAAGGGTTAAAAAAGGTGACCTGGATAACAATTTTGACAAGTGTGGCACATTTGACAACAACAATGCCTGAAACTGCTAAATAATAAATGTATTAAAATAACCATCTGAACAAACAGGAATATATAGAGCGCTAAGTATGTTTTTATTGCATTCAGAATGAATACGAGCAGACAAATTGAGGGAGAAAGATAGTCAAGTACCGGTACTTATCCACAACTTCAACCCACGAATCAGGTGCTTTTCTTCTGGCTCAAGGCAGTTCCTTGTGGTACGGAACTGTCTATTCAAACATATTGGTACCACAGCACTGAAAAATCTCAAACATTTTTTTCAGAGCTAGAACTGTGATGTTTCCCAGTGAAACCTGTTTTGTTTGCAAACTGAGTTTTTCTCAAATGCCGCTTTACAATTTACAGCAAGTTCACAACTTTGAGCATTTAGTGTCTAATTGTTGCTTGCGATGATATAGTATGAAAATTGCTTCTGTCAAGTATGGTCAAGGTGGTGCGACTGACTGGAATTTTTGCAAAGTGCTGAGTGATGTAAGGAAAGCTTCCTCTCAGTTAATGTACCGGTAACTAAAATAATGGAAATGAGTTTTGATTTTTAGAAAGGTTAAAACTTATTCCAAAATTTCATATTTAGGGAGAACAAGTCGAAGCGACGACAGAAATAATAAATACTTAGGTACTCAGGATTAATGATGGATAATTAACTCACCTTTTAGAGATACGATATCACATAGATAATCAAGGAAGCAAACCAAAGATTTTACTTTTTTGGGGAGATTAAAATCTTTTGACATTGACAGATTGATTAAATGGCAATGTTGTACTTTTCTACCATAGAAAAAAGTGTTGTTTTTTTCATATAACTGTGTGCTATTTGCTGTCGGAATGTGACCAAATATCAGATACTGAGAAGCAACATAATGATAAAGGGAGGGGAGGGGGAGGGGAAGGGTGAGAGAGAGAGAGAGAGAGAGAGAGAGAGAGAGAGAGAGAGAGAGAGAGAGAGAGAGAGAGAGAGAGAGAGAGAGAGAGAGAGAGAGAGAGAGTATACACTAATCAAGTTGTTGTCCAACTATGTATGAATATGACCATGCAAACTTTCTTGCCACGGACCAATAAAGGTTCTTTCATTCATTACTTCTGTTCTGGCTCGTTATATTGTGTTCTCAGCTTAACTAAAACAATACAATTTTTATTCCAATATATTGTCATATATTATATATACAGGTAACAAAAGGCAGTGACGAATTCATCGTTCATAACAGCTCAGCTAGGGTAGAAGCTCGCAACAGCTGCTTGAAAATTCCCATCAAACTCCAGCAACAGCATGCAAGCCTCCGATAACGTCAGGTGGAACTTCCGGCACAGAAACTGGATGAAAAAAAGTGCAATACATTAGTAAAACGATTTTATATATATATATATATATATAGGCTGCATGTTGCCCAAATAAACACTTCCATTAAATAGGTTATATAATGTACCTCTATTAAGTCTAACCCTCCCCCCCCCTCCTTTAAGTCTAAGCTTACTAATATATAGGCTGCAACTTTATCTGTAATCTATCTAGATCTAGTCTGCCTTGTCTGAGCTTCTGAGTAGTCTTAGTATTAGTGTCACAGTCACTGAGTAGAATCTAGGCCTGCTGTGAATGCCAGATGTGGCAAGGTGAGTAGAGCAAAGTATAAACGCTCCCCAAGTGTACAAAGATTATGTTTCACAAAAAGTCATTCCAACGCCAGTTGGAACAAAGCCACCAACCAATCAAGCAGTGGGGTAATTAACTCAAGACCATACAAGACTAGAAGAAAGGGATGGAGTAGGGGGCAAGGTTTTGAAAGGGCCGGGAAGAGAGCAGAAAGGAAAGAACCCCACCACGTCTCAACACATCACACAGAGACAATTTAATGCATCACAATCACACACATATATATATATATCTAATAAAAAAAGCCTTCCTATAGCGCACGTCCCCGCTCAACAACAAGCTCTATGTATGTGCTTTACAATCTATATAATCATTATCCCAGCAGGCCATAAAATACTCAGAAACATTCTTGGCTTCCCGGGAAGTACACAATGCAAGTGCAAGCAGTCGATTAAATGCTCAAACACTAACAAACTGACAAAATCTGTTCTTGTCTTTAGTTAGGTACCCATTCCCACCTGAAGTGACAAAATCAGTGTAAAGAGCTTTTCCCCCAAGGACACAATATCAGACCCTTGAGGAGGTTCGAACCCACTACCATAAAACTAGCTAACCACTACACCACTAAATGCAAAAAATAATAAGATGAGTGAAGTCTTTATTCAGACTGTCAGTTTAAACATCTATAGTCAACACATTCCTCACCATCAGACGCCGATGCAGTCGCTCTTTGTTTTCTGTCCCCCCTTCCTCCGAGGACTCTCTTTGCTGTGAGGCGGCCTCACTGCTCTTGGAAGATGGGCCTGCTGGTGAGACATTTATAAGGAAATAATTTATACCACATCCTCACAATTCAGATCAGAGCTGCCACCCCACATTAAGTAAAAAGAGTACAATCGATAGTGAATAAGAGTAAGATTAGGTAAAAAAGAGAAAGATCCCGAATCCCTTCGAGTTTTGAGTGTCTAAATAGGTCATGAGTAGTAATATATATCTGCTGCAATTCACTGACGCTAAAATGTGTTGATGATGACACAAAGAAATGTACCATAGCCGTACACAGACACAAGCAGACCAGCGGTACACGTAAGATAAGTGATAGAGATGCTCAGACACTGGACCAGCAGGAACAAGAGGTCACCGAATAACGCTTATTGGGGGAGAAATTTGCGGGAGAAGCAGACAAATTATAAAATCCAAACTACTAATGAATGCTACCTGGCTGACATGAAAAAGACGTACAATATAATATGAAGTCTTATAAGCGTACAAAAGTTAAAAAACCCATAAAAGAATACGTAATTTTCGTGTGAGGTTGGCAGCTCTGTTAAATCATTGGTGGGCCACTTCGACCCTGCTATAGATCTGCATGTGAGCCTCAACCAGATTGTCTGAAAATTTTGCGTGCACAACAACCCCCACAACTTTAGAGCTTTTAAATTAAATTGTGGGTGTCATAAAAGTAAGGACTTCCGAGTAATGAGCGACCACCCCAACAAACACAATAAAGAAGAGACCTAACCCTAACCGTCCTAACCCTACCCCAAAAAAGAACCTGCAACGGCCCACCTGTAAATTAAAACATTACTAAATGTGCCACTGGCCTTACCAGAGACTTTCAGCTGTTTCTCCACTGGCTCATGACGTGTATCTCGTCGAGACCCTTTCCTCTTGCTCCTGCCTTTCACTTTGTTCGGCCGCACTTCATCCTCCGCGTCATAACCATCACTTTCTGAATCACTACCTGCGAATACAAAGCGGGATTACAAAATCAAATTCAAACTGAAGAGAGAGAAATGTATCTCAAGTCAGTGGACAGTGTTTTCCTCCTCATCTCCAAAGTTCCTATAACTCACAGACACCATCGGAACCACCCACACCAGTGAGTAAATAAAACCTTAGCGAGAAAAATATTATAGCACAAATGACAAACGTTTTAAAGTTACTTGAGGGCAAATAAACAACAATTCTACTTGACAAAGTTTAGCGACAAAACCTCAGCTTTGGCCCCTCTACTACTACTACTAGAAGGAAATAATGGCCCGACCTTGAGCAGAGAGACCCAAAGCTCTATGGGGGCCGTGAGGACTTGCAGCAAACAGCAGCCTTCACACAAGAGACTAGGATGTCCATTAAGAGATGAACGAGAAGTAGAAGTTGCCCCTCCAAAACAGAACTTGGGCGTTTACAATGTAAAAAAAGGCTTTTCATTCTTTTCATTTGGAGGCCAGTTCAGTTTCAAATTTGGTGAAGAAAAATCCTAGCAGATAGGTGGTCTTACTTTCAAAACAGCAAAGGACAGGGGAGAAATTGGGGAAAAGGTCAGGCAAAGAAGACATTGTTGAGAACAAGTGATCACCTTCATTGGAAAATTGAGGGTTCTTCTCTCCTCTCGCTGCTGGGCACGACATTTCACTACAGGAACTAGAATTTGACCAACTGCTCTTCTTCTTTCTGCGTGCAGACGAGGAGAGGCCACTACATGACGGGAGGCTCTCCTTGTCCTCGACCTGCAAGATGTTGTCAGTGTCCGGAGAGTCGCTCCCTCCTTGAGTATTATGAGCCTGTCCACTTTTCTCTTGAACTTTTTTGCACTGTCTGAAAACTGTCGGGTCTTGTTGCTGGTTGGAAGAAGATGATTGCTGTTGGTCAGATGTTGAACGTGTTTGTCTTGGTGATTGTGGTTGGCCAGAAGTTGAATGTGTCTGTGCAGGCGATTGTGGTTGGCTAGAAGTTGAATGTGTCAGTCTTGGCGATTGTGGTTGGCCAGAAGTTGAACGTGTCAGTCTTGGTGATTGTGGTTGGCCAGAAGTTAAACGCTTTTGTGTTGGCGATTGTGGTTGGCCAGAAGTTGAACGTGTTTGTGTTGGCGATTGCCGCTGGCTAGATGATGAACGTGTCTCTCTCGATGCTGCAGTTGAATGTGTTTGTGTAGGGGGTTGGGGTTGGTTTTGGCTAGAAGTTTTACATGCTTGATTTGATGACTGCGACTGTACAACAGGACAATATGTTCGTTTCGATGATTGTGGCTGCATGGTAGAAGAACAAGACTGCGCAGGAGTTTCCTTCCGGGGTACTGAAGATGAACTAGGCTTGGCAAAAGAGGATTGCGGTTGAGTAGACGTCGACTGTGACAGAGCAGAAGACACAATCAACTGATCGAGGTCGTCGTCAATTAAATCTTCTACCACTGAAGGCTGGTTGCTTTTTTCTGTCTGGGACTTTGGTGATGGGACATCCAGTATCACCACCTCCTCGTCCTCTTCCTCAATGTCCTTTTCAGCAGCAGCAACTGTAGTGGGAGCACTACCGACTTGGCCTGAAGGGTAAGAAGGAAAGAAAATTAAATTGAGGAGCGAGATACGGCATCTCCAGAGTTCCATCAGAATCAGTAATTGACCCACCAACCCTTTGACGATGAAAAATAGGACAACTCTCCCATTCCACTATTTTAAAAAAAATGGGTTTGAGAGGGAGAAATGGAGTCACATAGATTCTTACAAACCAAGTTGCAAGTAAAAATAAAAATGCCCGTGAGTCTGTTGTGAAATTAGACTTGAATAAAAGAAGCAAACTCAGAAGTACAGAAAATAATCAATATTGGCATAGCATGCAGTATCAGAGTGCATACCATAATTACAATCAATCACCTGTGACCTCATACCAAAATGAAAAAAAAAAAAAAAATTAATATTTCAAGCAAATCCGTCCAGAATTTCTCAAAAGACACAAAATATTGCATAGATAATACATGATTTAAAAAATTTATACTTGTCAGGTCTGTAAAAACAAAAATGAATATATTCAATTTTGGTTTAACAATGGAGCCACTTCGACAACCCGCTTCTCCAAACAAAAATACACATAAAGAGTCCAGATCAAGAAAAAAAGGTTAAAAAATCATCCAACATGAAAAAATTCAGTAGACTCATTACCTAAAGAGCCATCTCTCCATTTCGTGTGAAAGTCACCGGTGAGTTTCGCTTTCCAAACAGCTGGTATGTCATACGCATTGATCTGCTTCAGTATGACGTTTCTGAACCGCGCCTTCATACTCTGGTGTGTATGAAGAGTAACCTGAAGAAAAAAAAGAAAGGATTGTAAGGGAAGAAAGAAAAGAAAACATAAACACATGAAAGAAAATAAAACAAAAAAAAACAAAAAACCTAGAATTCCAGAATACCTGAAAAAAACAAGAACAAGGAGTACCAAAATGGTAAAAAACAAAAACATATATATATTTATATAAACATATGAGAATCTCAATAATAAAGTGTAGAGTCAAAGACCAAGCATATTGTGTAAGCTAAATTTGTAAAAAATTTAAATACTGTATTGTTGAAAGGAACAAACATTGCAGCCAAGTAGCTTGAATACAAGTGACAGCACCTTTCTCCATCTATTTATCGATCTGGATGCCATCCACCAGCAAAAAGCTTTTTAGTTTTAGAGTGACCTTAGAGATTATGTGCAATCTGGCTATTTGACTTTCCGTGCGATGTTTGACCCAAAATATCCAGGTAGACCTGCCTACTGTTCTCGCCAAAACCACTGGTCAGCACATGGGAGAACCTCAAGCATAATATAGTTAATATGATCAGCACAACCTAATCCCCAACAAAAGGATAAACAGTACTCAGAACCCGATAATCACATAAAAAAAATTAATTACTGTAAGACGTATGTGTGTTAAACTTCCCTTTAAATACTGTGAAGTCTATCAGGTATCCCTAAATCTCACAAAAACAAGAATAATTGTCACAACATCTCACAGGATCGTCTTTGTCAGTTGTCATGACTCTCTTTACTGGCCCAATCTGCTGCTTACAGACAGAGATGTCAGAAACCAAACTGTGTCCAAAAGGGGCTTAAAGTTTAAGTTAAAGAAAACCAAAACCAAATGGTCTCCACATACTCTCAAGGCCTCCATGTTTTTCCAGAGGATGTTCCCTCCGATTTCTGAATAGCGTTTGTTGTCGACGATATAGCGGATCATCTTCAGATCCTCAGCATCGGTATACTTAATCCGTCTGAAAAAAATAACAAACAGATGTACTGTAGTTTACAATAAAAATTTTTTCAAAGACAGAACTTAACTGATAAAATTTTCACCCCCCACCCCCTAGAAAGGCCCATCTAAAAACTGTACTTTCATCTTCAATGCTAACACTTCATGTGAACCTGTACACTCATATCTTGACTATTGGGACAACTAAATATAATTTCAGAAAAGAGAGTTAGAAATAATAAGGGAGTGGGAGGGAGGAGTAGGAGAAGATGAGGAGGGCAGGGATTGTAAAAGGAGCAGAAAGAAACCAGGGGGGGGGGGGGAAATCGTATTAAACAACAGCCCAACTAACAGTCAAATTATTGTTTCAAAAGATTCATCCTTCTTGAGCATTTTGTGTTTTGTTGAACGGGAATTGAAGCATTTTGTCACAAGTAAAGTACTCCAATTATCAGTGGTGAGGCTGCATAAAGAAGCACCGTTCTTCTGTCATATTGTGCTTTGCCTACAAAAAAAAAAGGCACAAATAGTCCCTTTTGTTTGGGAGATTATAATAGTGGGGAGTTTCCCATGAAAATACACTTAGATCTACCCGCAGAAACAAACATTTTAGAATTTTAGCATTAATTCAGAATAGTATTTAAGTGAAATTCTTTAAAATCAATTAAAATTCATGAAACCCTCATTTGAGACAGACTAAATTTTGATAGGCTCCCTTCAGACAAGTTTTCCCAGAGCCACACACATTTATCAGCTTACCCTGAGTACAGGGATCGTTTCCCAGTATGAAGAGGCAGACTGTCAGCCTTGAAGCTACTGAGGTCAAATGCGTCAGGTTCCTCCACGACCCTTCTACTTGACTTTTGACTTTGACAGGACGACTCCCCATTCTGTGAGCTCCTCAAACTTTGTCTGGACCAAAAGACAAAATAATAATAGTAACATTATAACAATTATAATAATAATAAACAGCATTTGTATAGTGCAAAGTCCCGCTCAACAGCAAGCTATGTGCTTTACAATCTACATATTTATTACCCCAGCAGACCTCATAGAAATCTGAAACAAATTTCAACTTCCTGGGAAGCATACAGTGCATGCTGCCAAATAATGCAGTGCATGAATGAGCTCAGAGAACAGGCATGGTAGGTATTTGAAGTTGTCTAAAGATTTAAATTTAAAGCTCCTTGCAACACTGAACAGTTATTTCAAGGGCTGAGGTACAGTTAAACCCCCCTTGGAGGAATGGTGCAATTCAATTGCCCCTTTAACACAAAATATGGCTATACATAATGACGGGTATGCTATTGAAGGACCATCACTGACAAGCTTGACTGAAACAAGTGAATGGACAGCCAGGATTAATACCATCACAAAACTGGAGATTTGAAAATAAAAATAACAGCTCTTAAAAAGTTTTAGTAAGAGTTTTACGACACTTGAAACACAATAAAGTCATATAAGCGTCGAAGATTAGACATGTCAAAAGAACAAGAGGGTGACGAACAAAAAAGAAGGAGGACAGATCAGGACGATAGATCATGTTTGATAAGACAAACGGAACAAACCCCACCAAAGCACCTGCAAACCACCAGCAAATAACTGCATCAAGCTACAGCTTGACACAGGTATACAGTTTCATCTCTACCAAGCATGAATGAATGACATTGCAATAATAATATATCAAACAGATCAGACTAAGTAAACAAACCCTCCCCCCCACATGTATTGGCCTACCTATATCGCGACTCGTCCAGCAATCTGTTCTTTTTGACACAGTCCAACACGAACTGGACTGAGAGAAACCCTTGGCTCAATCTGTCATCTGTTTTCTTTTCACACAGTCTGTATGGATAGCATGATATGATGATACATTTTTGTTTAAAGAAGTCACTTTGACAACAACAGCAAACAAAAGAGGGTTGGGTTTTTTTTTAAAGTGAGACAGTAAAGAGTCAGAAGAAAGACACAATAAACTGCTCATTTTTAATATTTATAAGTATGTTCTATCCCTTCTTGATTTTGTGGAAAAAGAGTCAAGAAAAAAAAAGAAGCCCAAAATGTTACTGAATAGATCAAGTAACTAGTTAAAGTGATGCAACAACGCTTATTTTCAGAATAACACAGTCTTATCAGCACACTTTTAGTAATGATAAATATATTTTTAAAAAACTCTTTTTCAGTTATCATTGTCCCAAATAAGCAATGATAACAAATTTTTCATTGCAGCCAGAAGTAAATAAGTAAAAAAACAGGAAGAGCCAGGGAATAAAGCTAAAATAGTCATTCAAAACGAGCAAACATACAAGTATTTTTAGAGCACAGCCTTTTGTGGTTGTCTTGTATGATGCGATCCCAACTGTCGTCCAGTATTATTTGCCCAGTCACACACATTGTCATTGTCACACACACTTTCTTTCCTTACATTAACACACAGTTAAAGAAGCAGCAAGCACAGCACATTCAGTCAGAAAAAGGTTTATCAGTTTGTAAGAAAATAAAAGATTGAGTTGAGAAGAATTTTGCTATTATATTAAAATTATAATAATAATAATAATAAAGACCACCTCTATAGCGCCCACTCCCTTGTGGCTCTACGGCTTCACAAAAAAATAGGATTTAGAGAAGCGTTTCAAGTATATATATGGGTCCATTCAACTTACAACAATTCTTTCAAATATATTTATATATCATGTAATACACCCATAATATGACAAAGAACAACACTTATACACAAAAAGACTATCACTGTGGGGGAAAACTTACGCATAACGACACTTGTTCCTTTCACCAACTATGTATCCACCGCCTCTCTAAAAAAAACAAAATTACATTGATAAATTTACACTTTTGTAAAATGCAAAACCACAGTTCACACTTTAAAAAAAAAAATTTTAATGAGTATTTCAATTCCTTTTATAATATGAGTCTAAAAACTAAATGGAAGTAGACAGTTCTCAACACTCTCAATAACAGTCAGGTTTGGTCAATTTTGTAAAGGCCATTTCCCAGTTCGTCCCTTCCATTCATAGTGGCACTGCCCAAGATTAATCTGGTCCAGTGTGGCCAGGGCTATTATTTTATCAACCAACAGACCTAAAAATCTGTCCAAAATAGCCACGCAAAGGCTTTCATTGCCCAATGTTTGCTGTTGTCATAAAACATATCAGCCTTTGACTTTGGCATGATAGACAAGCTGTCATAATCCACTCATCTGCCCTTATAATTAGCTCCTCATATTTGTAAATGAATAAACCGCATGCTGACTGGCATAAGGTTACAGGTCCCTTCCACTTTTTAACCAAAAGTTGACCAGCCTGTAAGAAATTTTCAACTGCTGATGAGTGAGGCATGTCAACAGTATATAATACATTAGCCCCTCCCACAACTGAATGACCTTCTAACCACATGCGAATCACAAGTGAGATCTGTGGCCATTCTGGCCACCGTACCCAGTCAGTAACAATTTGGATATCAACATAAACTTCCGACAGAAGTGCTGCTTATTTGCACATGTGACTAAACGTAGAACGACGCAAACTATTTTTAGGTAAGGCGGCCATCTTCTGTGACGTCAGACCAGGATATCCCTCCGATCACGTGACTACATGATCTAAACATAGCCAACCGCATGGCACCAAAGATCGTGTATACCTACCATGGCATGACGTTTTGGTGCGATGTTTTTCCAGACGACGTACCAGTCATGTGATATGATGCGGTGCTCCGATGCTGCTGCTGTTTATCTCTTATGCGCATTGTTTATCGGGCCCGGGGGCGGGGATATTCTCCAGGTGTCTTTACAGCAATTTTCGCGCGCTTTATTGTCTTTGCATTTCCCATGTTTCAATTTCAAGCATCAGCGTTCGTACTGTTCTGAGCATCAACGATCTAAGCAATCTTCCATCACTAGAGCATGGCTGATGTGCTGCAGTTAGCTGCAAGTGTGGAATTTTATCGTGCGAAACACATCGATTCATATACAGATAATAGGTCAAGCCACTGACCCAACATGTCGTTCCATGCGGTATCTCCAAAGATAGTGTAGTGTGTAGAGTAGTAGGGAATCTTTGGTGTCCCCACGGTCTTCTAAAAATAGTCTGTGGGTATCCCAGGATGTGGTGACATCACATTACTAAAATAAGCAGCCAATCAGGCAGGTGCGTCATTCTATGTTTAGCAGCATGTCTTGTTTGCTGAGTGGTGGTGACCCATTTGTTTGTTTTACCATGGTACTCAGTCTTCCTTGTCTGACACATTTTATTTTGTTTTACCCTTGCACACTACAAGTGCTGCCTTCCTCATCTGATACACTTCGTGTAGAACATTTAACACACATACAGTATGCAGCACAGCCACAAACCCTCTCATTTTGCCCTCTCTTTAAAAAAAAAAGGTAGTGCCAATTAACACGGAGTAGCATTGACACAGAGTGAAGGTAGAACTCATTTGTGCTGGAAAGCATGTTTTATACAAACTTTAAAATGTATTTTAAAATAAAATTATTTTTACATGCACCCACACACAGATGCATTGATTCGAGGGCTAAACTGCCATAATTTTTGCTGCAGAACACACACTAAAACCCTTGCAAATCAATTGTTTTCAAGAAAATGTCAATCCTAATTGCCAAAAAAATCAAATCATTGTAAAATGCACGGGGCATGCCCCCCTGAAACCCCCCAGATTCTTTTTAGTCTCCCCCCCTGAAACCCCCCATGTTGTTAAAATCAAGGCCTTATTCGTGTTCAGCATGCCTAATATTACTAGAAAAAAAGTATATATAAAACGTGTACATGAGACGGATGCATGAGTAAAAAAAACCCCACCAACTTTTTTGGGTGTTACAGTTTAAAAGCAGTCCTAAACTTGCGAACACCTTCAGTGCTGACCTCAGATTAAAAAGGAATTGTTTGTAATAGTTTGTTTTCTTCTTCATTTTCATCATTCCCACCAAAAAGATGTCCCTGCCAGCTGACATACATATTATCATAAAATACAACAGACAACCTCTTTTCTCCTCAACAATTACTTGAATTACAAAGGATGGCCGTCTTGAACATTTCCGACTGTTGTAGGCCTACCTTCTTGCTTAATGAGCTAGAGCCTTAGGCAGTCAACATTTTAATCCTGAAAGTGCACAGGTCCTAGGCCTATAAATAAAGGGCATGAGCCGGGCTACCCGGGAAGAGGGCAGGCCCTATATAGGGCTCACCTACTTCGACCGGGAAGCGTGCAGGCCCTATATAAAAAAGGGCATAGACGCTTATCTTGTCTAGCAATGAAAATGAAAAATTAAATTTTCATCCTAATTGCTTTAAAAATGGGCTTAAATGAAAATAAAGTAAATTCTAAGAACTATGGTTTTTAAATTTTAAAAATCCATTGATAAATAAAAAAGTTATTGGGATTTTTGTTAGCAAAATGTTGGAGGACCTTCACAGGAAAATATCGCCAAAATGTGGGACATGTCTTGATGTATTTTGAGGAAAAACTGTTCATAAGTCAGTGATGAATTGGAGCATATGAATGAAACTTGGCATCTTCATGTGATTTTTAGTGCAAAATCTTGTTCTGCTATCACTTTTTCGATGTCTTTATTACTTTGGATCTTAAAGACTGATATTTGCATGAAATTTGTTGAATTGCGTGACATCGTTTTTACCGCGACGCGATCACCCCTTCTAAAACTCAGTAAAGCGCTATCGGGAAAACCTGCGATGAAGTCATCGGTGACCTATTTAGTTATAGGCAGCCAATCACATGCCGCCTAGCGATCACGCGCCTCTTGCATACCGGCACCTCGCGTTTGGAATGCGTGATCTAGTTCCCAGCTCTAGTGTTTTATCAATGGATGGGTGGTAATTTTCAGTTGATACGTAAAATGTACTAAACGCAGAGATCTGAAATTTTACAGCAATAAAGAAGACATGTGGGGCGCCTGTGTGGTCGGCTATCAACCCGCAGCTCCGCTTAGTTTCCGAACCGCAGAGGAAATTCGCACAAACACGGCAATATATCTCCTGTTCTAGAAATCGTTCAGGATTGTATGGTGGCATGTCGTTAGTTTAACCTTTCCTCTGATTGGTTGCAGAGTTTCATTTATTTTCGTTAACGAGTTTTCCTGTAACTATACTGAGAAGAGAGTCACTTCTGATTCCGAGCGGCCCAAAAATTACCCCTCGCGCAGAGGCCGATTTCCGGCCTAAGGCGCAGCGGGCGATTGGCATTGCTACTTTTTCAAAGGAAAATTCCAGTATTCCTTACATGGAAAATGACGTAGACTTAGATCTAGTAAATTACAGGTCAAAGTTATAAATAGAGACCAATGACTTTGCAAGTTATCTTGACCTAGTAGAGCATCTCTTGGCCAGGATATTGATAGATAAAGTGAAGCGGTCCAGCTGAGCGACTATGTATTATCACTTGTTTCGCCGTGCTGTTACTTTTCTAATTGTTGAGTTTCGCATTTTGCGCTTTGTTTGTATTTATTTGATCGTTTATTATTTTTGAATGGCTCATTCTATCAGCTTTAAGAAAATATATGGTTCTAGATCTATCTATCTATTTGCCTTTTATCATCTGTTGAGCCGTAAATGGTCATTTTTCAGTAGCAGACATCTCGGGTATCTCAGCTGTTCCCCCCCCCCAACCCCCATGTTTACAACCGATCGGCCATGGCGGTGGGGCATTTTTGGCGGGTTACTTCCGGTGAAACGCTGAGCACTTCTAGGGTTAATAAGATAGAGGCCCTGTACTCCTGTACTAGATTCTAGATCTAGATATCTATACTTGTAAGACAGAGTTACACATTAGACTACTAACTACAACTACAACATACTAGATCTAGATCTAGACTAGATCTAGTCTAGGTTCTACACCACACTGCACAACAGTAACGGGTGCTTTTTCGGTAGTTCCCACCCCTCTTATTTGAGCCTGACCTACATCTAGATCTAGATTATACGTTTGATTTGCGGCAAGCTAAGCTAAGATATATCAAACCTAACAACTGCAAAACATTAAATTGTCTTGTGGTAAAATTCAGGACTAGACTACCGAAAAAGCGCCCACTAGCGCCTAACTGTCAACACACTTACTTCAATGATCTGTCTGAGACTCTCAGATTGATAATCTGAATAGAACATAATGGGGGATCCATCTTCATTTCTAAAAAGAGTGCGATAAAAGCGAAAGGACATTGCAGTACGAAACGCCGCATCCATGGACGCCGTCATGATGCCTTTTCTTCAAAATCTAATGAAAACTAGATTTAGATCGACATTTTCATCACTGTTGACTGTTGTTGTAAACTGAAATTGAAAATCAAGCGAGTGCGTTGAGAATGCCAGGATTTCGGCATCTAATCATGCTAAACTGCTGGGTAGTTGGGGGAAAAAAAAGGACTACGAATTTCGAAGAAAATAAATAGATATCTACATGTAATACAAAAATATTTTTAATTTTACAATATTTTCAGTGACGTGCCCAGAACGCCAGACAAATCTCAAAATCATTGCAAAGATATTGTTTTAAAGTAAAAAAACCAAAAAAACCCACTTTACTTTGTCGGCAACCTGTTTTGTTATTATCATCGAGGAACGGCTTGGCAGTACACACAGTATAAAACAGTAGATAGATTAACCGTTCCATCAAAGATTCTTTTGTTACTATAGGCTAGTAGATAATTGTTGATTCCAATGCCCGTGAATCACGTCAGATTGCATTTTTATGTGCATAATAATTTACAGCAACAGGCACGGCTAAAGGGGGGGGGGT